GACGCGACACAGGGGGGATGTCACAGCGTAACACAGGGGAAATGTCACAGCGTAACACAGTGGGACGAGGAGCCGTTTGTACGCTACGCGGCCCACGGCATCCCCCAAGCGGATTGCACCTTCCTCGACGAATCCCAACGCTACCCATCCACGGCGACGGAGGAGGTGGTCGTCTGCCGGGGGCTGTCCTTTCGGGGGGTTTTCACCCGCATGGACTTCACTGTCCGCCGCGGCGAGCGCGTCTTGCTCTGCGGGTGCAACGGCAGCGGGAAGTCGACCCTGCTGAATATGCTCGGCGGAAAGCAATACTTCGACAACCGCGCGGGGGCTTTGCAGGTTTTGGGAAAACCATGCTATGAGGACATGACCTTTATCGCAGGGGTGGCCTACGGCGGGAATTGGTGGACGCGGGCGCCGGCCGGGGAGGTCTACGTGCGCGAGCTCCTCTCCCTTCACACGCAACGCGCTCGATGGCTTTGTGAGGTCCTCTCGGTGAACCTCGACTGGGAAGTGAGCACCATCTCCACCGGCGAGCGGCGCCGTGTGCAGATTTTGCTCTACTTGCTCGAGGATAAGCCGGTGGTGCTGCTGGACGAGGCTACAGCTGAACTCGACGTCAATCAGCGCTACGCATTGTTGAAGTTTTTGTATCTGGAGAGCGTCTGCCGTGGGGTGACAATAATCTACTCGACCCATATTTTTAGCGGACTGAAGTGCTGGGCAAACGTGTTGATTGTGCTCGACAGCACGAAATCTGGTGTGCATGCCATTCGACGAGCTTCCGATGGGGAGGAAATTGATATTGAATACTTAACTGAAGAACTCATAAAGCTTAAGTCCAAGGAGAAGGTGTAGAGCCTTGTACATGGCAGTTTTCTTTTCCCATCTCCAAGGCAGTAAAACTGAAATGGAGGTAGGTGATTAATCTTTACAAAAAAAAATACAATTCAGACCATTTTTTTGTTTTTACTTTCCAACATGTGAATGTTGCTCAGTGTCCATGTTTAAATCCATTTCTAAAATAGGAATTTGATTGATTATTTTCCCCCATTTTCGTTTTTGCTTTTCTATGGTATATTGTTTTAGATGGGCACTCTAGGGACCCTCCAACCTTTTATTTTCCTCATAATTCATTATAAGCTTTAATAATGTCGGTGCGGAATCCAACGACTAATACAGATTATCGGCGGCGGTCCCAACTCGGCTCTTCCCATCCGCAACAACCAATTACCTCCCGTAAAGGCGGTTATTTACGCTGCCCGTTTGAAATCAGCCCGCACTTTTCCGATCTCGCCGCTCGTTTGGTGGCTTCTTCGTCCACCAAACACGCGCCGCGATCGAGAGCCTCCGAGGCGGACGACGAAGCCGAGGGGGTTTGTGAAGGTCGTCCTTGGACTCGCGCGGGGATCGACGCGAGACGGCTCACCACGCGTGAAAAACTCGCCCAACAGACGCAGTCCGAGCAGATCTACGGCTCCAACTTGGGATCGGCCCCCGCGGAGGACCTGAAAGCGGATCCCGTCGACCCTCCCACGCGCTCCTCCACACGGGATGGGGAAGGGCGTCGGGGAGGAGGGGGCGCCTTCGCGATGGATATTCGTGAGAAGCAGGCCTTGCAAAAGCTCCTACCACGGCACCTTCGCGGCCGTCAAGAACGAGGAGCTTCCGAAGGAGCCTCCGTCCTACCAAATAGCAACCATAGGCGAGAGGGCGGGGATGGCGTGGTATCCGAGAACGACATTGATGCGGATGAGACGATACTCAAAAAAGGTAGTGACATGTCTAAACCTTCTAATAAAAAGATCTCTGAGAAGATAACTTTGAGTGAAAAAGATGGAAAAGAGCTTTCAAAGGGCACCCAAATGGTTTCCAAAAAGAGCCTGACCGAAAACAAGAGTCCTAACATGGGTAGCAGTTTGATCTTGGATTCCAATTCTACCACGAGTACTACAGTTAATTCTGCCTTGCCAAAAAAACAAAAGCGGATGCGTAAAAATGAGGAGCAGTCGCAAAACAATTCTTCAAATGCAGCTATTACCGAGGCGTCTGTAAATGGAGCCTTACCGTCTACTTCTCCACCGTTGCCTAAGACGTGTTCCCGCCCGATGAATAAAATGCAAAGGCTTGAAGAAATACGATTAAAAGCGCTGTTCGGTAAAAAAAAGAGGTTCTGATTAGTAATGGAGTTCCTTTGAATAAAAATTATGAGAATATAAATGCTTTTTTTTAAAAAAAATGCACAGTTAAAGTCTATACGGTGTAAGACCTAGGATTTGCTTTACCTCATTTCAGATTAATATATCATTCTATTTATTTATATTCATATAGGGATCTTGAAGTGATAATTATGTGTGAACGATAGAAATAATAAGGCCCATTTTGATCTCTCTCTTCAGTTTGGACATCATGATATTAAGCCTTTTCCTCTCAAGAAAACTCAAAAAAATGAAATATTATAAGTATATTTTAAATATTTAAACCAATTTATTTCTAATAAGGTCATATACTGGTATGTTTCTTAACTTTTTTTTTCATTTTCAGGTTGAATTCTTTTTGCTATTTTTTTTTCATTTTTTACCACTTGACTTTGTTCAGGATTGCGGTTCTTGTAGAAGTGCTTGGTGTTTCCCCAGTACCTTAGATAGGATAGCTATCCTCTATTATACATACACTCATATATATATATATATATATATATATATA